CCATCACACCCAGTGTCAATTTCTGTATCAGTGTGCCCTGCAGGGCGAGGTCAGCCCAGGAGGCCCAGGGATCGAACTCCTGGCCCCTGTGCCTGCTTGCAGGTGCTTTAATCCACTGAGCTTTTTTGCCAGCCCGATATTTTCAATACCTATAATATTTTATCATTTTTAACACAATCTACCTTTTCTTAAATGTTCCAAGTATTTTTAGTCCTTTTAGGTATTTTAGTCATTAAATTTATTTTATGTTGAGTGACAGACATTTAAACTTTTTAAAACTGAGTAAGAGAAATTAAAAGTGAAAGCTTTCTCCCCAAAACTACAGTTAATTATTTTATGTTTCTCAATGAATAGAAAGATTTGTTCTAATAGTGTTTGTGGACAAGATATCATGTCTGCCTCTTGCACTACGAATAATCGCTACGAAGACAACACTATGCAATGTATCAATTATTAAAACTGTCCTACTAATTGGTTTTGAAACTCATCGTTATTTGTTTCTCAATAAAATTATTTTAAAAAGAAATTATTTTATGTTTCTTCTAAGAAATTTGAGTGGTATTTTTTTTTATTTTTTATTTTTTGGCAGAACAGGGGATTGAACTCAGGCCCTTGTGCTTGCCAGGCAAGCACTTATTCTATTGAGCTGTCCCCCCAGCCTCTGAGTGGTATTTTCTAATACTTACTCTTCTGTAGTTTGTTTCCATAAATATATAGGTTTACTGTGATTGAACGTTTAGATCTAGCTCATTCTCTTCGTATGTTTGTTCTAATTTATTTTTAGCTTTTTCCTTATTTTAGAGCTATTCAGGTTGATGCTGAGTTAGTTAATTTCTTTGTATTCTTTTGAGACACACAGAATTTTGATTTGAAATGTGCCTCTGTAGCTTTCATGGAAAGCAGCAAACTATTTCCCAGTACAGTGTCTACAGTTTGCATTCCCTGAACAGCAGTGTATGCAAGTACCTATTTCTATGTCTTCTCTCTTTTTTCCTCCCCAGTCTGATGGATGAAAGGACAACTTACTGTTTTAAGATCTATTATATTTTCCTTTTCTTCCTACCTTCCGTTTTGCTCATCCTGTGTAATTCCCTATATTCTGTCTCCTTTTCTTTATGTATTTAGTATCTAGTAGGTGTGGAACAATGTGTAAATCAGGACGAAAATAGAAGTGCGTGTGTGTGTGTGCGCACCCTTCTGTGTACACAAACAGATACAGGACTCTGTGAATTATCTTTGAAGTAGGTGATCTCGTGCCATGTGTGTCTCACTCTTGTGTTATGTTTTTCCTTAGCCCGGAGTAACTGATTCTTCAGCTTCTGACTGTGTGCATTTTTGGTAGCCTGGTTCAATCTGCCTCATTTTGCTCTCTGTGAAGCCACTTTACACTCACATTCCATCTTCTCTTGGTAGCACAAATCCTCCCTCTGGGCTTTCATAATAATTTATTCATATTTATAGCATATCCACTCTGTCCAATTCTCTTTGCACTTCTTCGTTAACAAGCTGTTTAGCTGTTGAGCTTGTCTAGATCACAGTGTGGCCGTTTTGATAGTACCAGGAAGACAAGTCATGTGACTGAGGGCAGTTGAGGAGCTATTCCAAGACAGGTCCTGATTTGAGACTCCTGAAGTTGTACCACATGAATGCCTTGCTGTTTACATTACAGCCTGGACTAATTCCAGATTCAAAGGGCCATAAAGAAGGGAATCCCAAATCTTGTGCAAGTAGCCAGGCCTGTAGCTCAGTGACAGAGTACTTCCTTAGCAGGTGCAAGGCCCTGGGTTTGATTCCCAACACTGCAGGAAGCAAAGCAAAATGAACAAGATAAAAAAGCTTGTGCAGCCTTAAGCACCCTGAAGGGGAAGTCTAAGTAGCCATATACACTGAAGGTTGAGTTAAGTTTTCTAGCACTGGATAGAGAGTCGACTGTCGTCATCTATAGCACAAGGGATATCATTTAAAATAATCTTATAATAGCAGTATTAATGATCTACATTCCAGGTGGTGGAAACCTGTCCTTCTAGTCTCCAGGCCACCTCTGTATTTGAGACAGGAAGTTCTCAGTTGTCTTTGCACTGCGTATGCAGTGTGGAAAGCCACGCATACTCCATCAGCTTAAGTTCTCACTGTCTTCAAGATGCACGTTGGCATTTTCCGTAGATAGTATATAGTAATATTTTCACAGCGTAACTAAAAGTTTGGGTCTCAAAATAATAAATTGTGAACTCCAGGCCATAGCTGCTGTCTGGTAAGTGCTCGGTAAGATTAAGACCCAGGCCTCCCGACGCATGCAGTTCTCTGTTCTGAATTGGATTTTATGCTTGCTGTAATCTCCTGAAGCAGTGTGAAGCTTAATTATCTTCTACTTAAACTGGGGGAAACAACTTTCTTATAAGCTCAAAACTTGGTTCTTGCTAACCTCATGTGGAATTGATACCATTGGTATTTTCTTTTTTCTTAGGATCCTAGAAAACTTCTCTTCACAACAGGTAAGTTGTTATTCATTCTCTTTTAGGGAGTCCAGAAGATCATTGAAAATAGACACTGTCAAGTTGTGTAGCAATGAGAAGCACACAAAACTATAACACATGGAAGGTGGCAGAATGGAACAAGTGCTAACAGTGCAGGCGAAAGGTTTCGGGGAACACAGAGGGGCAAGGCAGACAGGTCGAGCCATGTGGACGGAGAGTGCAAGCAAGCCATCACCTCTGTCACATGTTCTTCTGGGAAAATCGATAGGCGCCACCTGCCTGGCAAGGGGCTGCCTTGTGCGCACTGTGGTGACAGAAGCCGTGGGAGGAAACACACATGAGTGATTTCTGCTGTCAGGGTGCCGGAAAGAAACAGCCAATACCCTACCAGTGTGCTTCTCACAGGTTAGTTATTTAGGCGGGCATTGTGATTTTGAGACCTATAACAGGAGGAAGCCATTAAAATCAGCCTTTTTAGAATTGTCTTCCTTTTCTTTGTAATTTATTTTGCCCTCTCAGGCTTATTGTTTGTGAAATCTCAGTCTAGGTTATTAATTTATTAAAGCACCTTATTATTATTATTATATTTTAGGGAAGGACCTACAGGGTGTTCAGGGTCTCACTATTAGCTCAGACTCCTAGTGATCCGCCTGTTTACAGCCTCCCAAGAGCTGGGATTGTAGGCACGTGCCACCACGCCCCGTCTCAATTGCCATCTCAGTGCGCCCCGGGGGCGGGCCAGTGCTGCTGGCCCCAGGATTGAACCCCCGGCCCCTGCGCCAGCTTGCAGGAACTCATCCGCTGAGCTATTTGGCCGGCCTTATTAAAAGACATTTGAACGTCTCATAATTTTGGCAATACAGAATTCTAAAATTCTTCTTTCTTTTCATCATATTTTCTTTTTAAAATCAAGATGAAAAAGAGACTGTACGTTAAGAGGCTATTTCAGCACGTATTTTACCTACGAGCGTGAGTGGGTGGTTGAGATAAATGTCCGCTGTAATAACCTGTTAATGACCAGGCGGCGCATCACCCTGTCGGATTCGTTATTTCCCTTTTGAGCCTGTTTCATGAAGGAAAATAGCAACAATTCCAGAGCTTGCCTTCTGTGTCACAATTACATGGTTAGGCTTACAAAATGCATTTTCCTTCTGCCTGTAAATTTATACTGTTAACCACTTGTCAAGTATTTCAGTTTTCACTTCAGGAAGACAGTTTCACTTTGCTTACAGATTTTCTCATCAAAAACATGCTTTTATTTAAGCCTCAAAAACTGCATGAGAAATGGGAGAAAAAAGCAGAAAAACAAAATCTTATGTATGAATCAGTGTTTTTCTTTTGTTCTTGTGAATGAATGAATTTAAGAGGACTTGGTATTGTTATTTTCTATTGCAAAAGCTTAACTGAAGCCTTAGGACACTGAGATACTTTACAATCTATTTCACAAAGATTTAAAAAGATTTCTTATGTGACTAAACTACCTGAAAACAACTTAGTGTTTGAGGGCACCTGCCCATTAGCGCATCTGTTTAAGTGATTGCTTAAACAAAGCAGTCATGCTGTGGTTCAATCCCAGAACCTCAAGGTTTGCCAGACCTGCCCTGAAGGCATCCTGAGCCAGCACCCGCCCCCCCCCCAAAAAAAAAAACCAACCCAAAAATCCTTCTGAATTTAGTATTTGGTAGATGTTTTTTCCACTTCTTGCACAGCTCTGTTACCTTATTTTTTCCGGGAAGGCCTCACGAGTGGCGTTGGAGTTAGTAGAGATGGTAATTTACACAGCCAATGTCCTGGTTCCACTTTAGAGTGTTGCTGGGAGAGACCTTGCAATGTGCTTTACCCTTTACTCCTGCAGGAAAGCTGGGATTGGACTTGGGGTAGCACAGAAGGGCATGTTGTGCTGGGGGCTGTATACGGGGCTCTGCATCTGTGCACTGGGACAAGGAGTAGAGGAAGTGCTCAAGTACTAGGAATTGCGAGACTGTTACTCTTCATGTGTCCCTTTATAAGTGGAGTAGTTTCTACTCTACTGAGAGTTCTAATATTGTTATTTTCCAATGATTCTAAGCTGGCTAGAATCTTAGTTGCGCACACCTGTGTTGGTTGTCCACTGAACCAACTTGGATCTACCATGAGTGACTTGAGTTTAAGAAGAAAAGTGAGAGATGTCTGTACTTCTTCAGAAAGAATTGTTCCAACTGACTTAATGTTTGTCCCGTTTGAAGAGTCTCTTAAAATCAGGCATTTATGGCTTACTGTTGCCTGTGTGGTTTTCAGGGTAAAAACTGTAACACGCAAAGGATATTTAATTTCTTAATAATATGATAGCAAGAAAGGATCCTGTTGAGATTTTAGTGGTTTTAGCTCTATTGCACCAGCTGTTTATTTTGGATATGCAGTACTAGGTAGACTAATACTAAATTTGCAGCAAACTGCCACATTAGTTTCTTTTAAAAGTTTTAAAAATCTTATTTATTTATTTATGTATTTATCAATTTGGTACAGGGTCTTGCTATACAGCTCAGACTCGTAGTGATCCTTCTGTCTCAGCCACCCCAGTGCTGGGGTTACAGGTGTGTGCCACCACGCCTGGTTTTGGTTGTTGGCTCAGTGTGCCCAGGGTTCTGCGGGCACGTGGTGTCAGGGATTGAACCAGGTCTTTGCACTTGCCAGGCAAGTGCTTAGACTGCCGAGCCGTCTCCCTAGCCTTGCACATTAGTTTTGACATGTTTGCATATTTTCTTACTTTTTAAAATAAACTATGCCATGTGAGAAGCACTGACTTTAGAACACATTAAGACATCTATTTGCTATATTTTTAAAACCTCAGCACAATGATTTTTTCATGAAACATACAATTTTTATTTCTTGTTTTTAAAAAGTTATAGATTTATTCTTTCTTTATTTTTACTTTATCCCAAATTTAGATTTTATCACTACACTTTAGATACACATTATGATCACACTCATCATAGAGAATTTGTACCTGTACATGGTATAACTTGATTCTTTTCCCCATTCTCCTCCTCTTCCTTCAACATCTCCTCCTCTTCCCCATTACAAAGCTTTGTTTCCATTTTTCCTCTTTCTTTTTCTTCACTTTTCCCTTCCTCCCATTCCTGCTTTGTTCTCCTCCCCATTTGAACATTTTCTTCTACTTCACAATGTTATGCATTTTGGGCCTTATTTATACTTCCTGTTTCTCACACAGAGAAACGATGTGGTATTTATACAAGTGTGTCTCATTTATTTCCCTTAGGAGTACGGTCTCAAGGTGTATCCATTTACCTAGAAATGTCTTGAGCTTTAAACGCTTTCTTTAAAATATTCCCAATAATGAAGGGCTCCCATGATTATTGAAGCTGATGGAGTTACTATTTCCATAAAAGGAAAAATAAGGGATTTTTGAATTTTTTTTTGAGGGGGGGGGACCGGGGATTGAACTCACGCCCTTGCGCTTGCCAGGGAAACACTTTTTCCACTGAGCCATCTCCCGGCCCTGGGATTTTTGAATATTATGGAGGAGAAAATGAAATAGCACATTGCTGAAGGTTAACCCAACCCCACCCAACAGTAATTACTACCATTTTTTTAGTTTGTGTCCTTAGAATTGATTGCAGGCCTACCATTCTGCTTAGGTTATTCGGGAACTACAGCAGACTTCCATTAAGGGAAGAGAAGAATCTGTCTTGTCTGAAGTACTTTGAAACTCCGCTGATTTTAAAAAGGCTTGTTTGAATTTGGCTTCCCACAGAACAGCATATTACTTTGTATCTTAAGTTAATTGTTTGAATTTTTTTTCTCAGTATGCTCTAAGCTTAAAGTTCTCGTGTGCATTTCCAGTGCCCGGGCTGACGGGAGTCTGCATGGTCGTGGTGCTCTTCCTAATGACTACAGCCTCGACGTATGCGATAAGGTACGCGGTTGGGAGGTGCTTGCTGGTGCTTTCACTAGCCCATGATATTCAGATGTCCTTTCATGCGTGGGAAAAGGTTTCGATGAGCCAAAGTATTTAACCAACTGTATACTGGTTACTGGACTGTGCTGAGTAACATAAGGCTGAGGTAGAAGCATTTCTCTTACTTCTTGCTTATGCGAAAATGTATTTGCGTCAGTCAAGTCTTCTGGGTTTGAAAACAACTGAGTACGGAGATTGCATTTAATGTGAAGGAAGTTAGAGTTCTTCACGATCATCATTTTGCAGTGTGGTGTGCATCTGTGGGCACAAGATTTAATCCAGCGGCGCCCTCACGGGCTTGGAAAACGCCGGAGAAGACTCGGCCATGCGTGTGGGGCGCGGTGGGGCGCGCCCCGGGACTCGGGGCTGGCGCGGTGCATCCCTCCAGGGCGGGGACGCCCGGGCTGGAGCTGGGTGTGAGGCAGCCTGAACCGCGTGAAGAGAGCTTGTCTCAAAAAGTAAAACAGCCACGCCACCAACAACAAGGCCGGAAATCCACCATTAAGGATACTTCAATGTGCTTTTCCTGGTAGTTTTGCCTTTCAGAATATTTATAGTGTCTTATGTTTCTGATCAAATTTTTGGTTTCAAAAAAACAAAAGCCAAAAAAAATTGGGACTTTTTTTCTCACTTTCAAAATGCTTCAATTCTTCTAATTTCTGTGATGGGAGATTTAAGGGAAAGAGACACAAACGTATGTGTGCTTTGAAAAGAATTGCTTGACTTTGTCCTCAGATGAGCCTGCGTGTGGCAGCTCGGAGGTGCAGACTCGAAACTTTCCGCAGGCGCGCGTGGCGTAGACTTACCCCTTTCGGGTTTGCTTGTTCTTTGCCTCTTTTGCCCCCTTCTCTGTGCTCTATCTTGTCCTCAGATCTTCCCCTCTTCAATCTGCATGTATTTTGCCTCAAGAAGATCATAATACACTATTTCTGATCAGCTTTTTGTTTAACCTTATGAAGCTTTTCCCATAGTAATAATTTTTTTTTCTCTTTAGTGACAAAACAATCTGTCACCATAAACATATATGTTATTGGGTATTTTCGGTTGATTCCAATTTTCCAATATTTAATTGTAAAACACTTTCACTTCTGTCCTAAGAAAGAATTCCTAGATGTAGAATAAGTAGGTCAACTGGAAAGCACACTTTTAAAATTTTCATAAGAAAAAATTGCCTCACAGAAAAGCGAGCTTTGACAGTATTAGTGCATGAAGATGCATTTGTCTGGAGTGAATTTTTCTCTTATGTAGGAAAGCAATCATTTAAAAACGTTTTTAGTTTTGGGCATTCTTGAAGGAAAATTAAGTCATTTGGGTATTCATTCACAGAAATGAGCATATATAAATGCCCCGCATCTAGAAAAAGTACTTTTTCTGAGACATGTCTTCCTATGTAGTTCAGACTGGTCTTAAACTCGTTATGGAGCCGAGGCTGGCCCTGAACTCACAGCGATCCTCCTGCCTCAGCCTTCTAAGGGCTGGGATTAGATATGTGCTGCATCACACCTGGCTAGCAAAAGTATTCATGGGAGAGTTTAATTAAGTGAGATACAAACATCAGCTTCTATACTCAACTGAGATATTACCTTTGTTTTCAGAAGCACTTCCTTGGGATCGTCTTAATCTTCAGTTTATCTGGTTTGTTTAATGAGATTATAGCATGTATTTTTTCTTTAAACTTTATTATGAGAATGAAATTCTTAAGGAGATCATAGAGGTACTCTTCTACTTTTACTCTTTGTGTGAAAATAAAGCATTAGAGAATTTAAGTGAATTACTATAACTCCAATATTTGACTTCTGATCATGGGAAATAGTCCTACGCAAAGAAAGTTCAATTTATACCAATCTTAAAATAACACATCGTACTCAATGACAGTAGGTTATGTTTTTTCTCATTTCAATAGATTTTTAAATATCAGTTTTGAAATTTATGGGGGGAAATAATCCTATTAAGTAAACTAGAAATTAAGTGATTTTATTTATAGAATTGAAAAATTATAAATGGCAAAATTATGACAAGCAGTAAAACAATGTTGTACTCCTTAGAAAATCAGGAAAAAGCCAAGGTGGTAGTTTTATTTCCATTATCATTTACATGTGGTAAGAAATACAGGACTTGGAATTATTAGGAAAAAAGATAGCAATATATTTTCATTGTTTTCATACATGTAAATATTGACTAATCAGAAAATCTAAAAAAATTATGGAAAATTTACTATAAATGTCAAAGGTAGTCAAACACAGTTACCTTTTACAAAGGCAATCTACAAAAATTATCTAAAAAATGTCTTCTCTGTACTTTCTATGATGAACAAAACAAAAAAATATTGTTTTGAATGAATAAAACATAAAATTGAATAAAACAAAAATATAACATTAGCAATAATAATGAAATATGAAATATGTAAGAATAAACTTGATAAGAAACCAAATATAAAAAAAAGCCCCACGTAAGTTCACTAAGAGAAATGTGTACAGATTCGATTAAACGCACCACACCACACCACACCATAAAGGCATCATTTTTTCTCACCTGTATTTTAGGTTTGCTGCAATTGAAGGTTATTTTGTTTGTAGCTTTTGAATTTAGTAATTCTAAATGTAGTACAGGAAACATGCTGGTTTATGTTGCAAAAGAGGATAAAAGGCACCATGTGCTGTACTAAACATTCAAATGTTTGAGGTTCAGTTACTTACAGTAGGACTTACAGATTTTTTTTTTTTTTGGTATAGGGGATCGAAATCAGGATCTTGGGCTTCCCAGACAGGCCACCTTGTGATTTTCGGGCAGGGGCTTGTGCCCTGGAGCTCTCTCCCCAGCCCCTTGCAGAAATGTTTGAAGAGACAGAGTTGACAGAAGGGCTTGCAAGGCCTTTGATGCCCTGCTAGGTGTCAGACCTACTCAATAATAAACTTGTCCTCATGGAATTCTAGATAATTTACATATAAAGAAGGGGATATAGTTCAATTTTTTAAAAAATGTATTTTGTACAGGGTCTCACTACACAGCTCAGACTTGTAGTGATCCTCCTGTTTTCAGCCTCCCCAACACTAGGACACAGGCGTGTGCCACCACACCCAGTCTCAGTGGCTGCCGGCCCAGCGTGTGGTGGTGGGGATTGAACCTGGTCCCTATGCTTGCCTAAGTAGGCACCTAATCCGCTGAACTGTCCTACCAGCCCTCGAGTTCATATTTTAAGGTAGTTACTTTAGGTAGATATTTGTCAGACTTCAAGATGAGTAAGGAATCATAGAGGAAATACTTGATTATCTACCATTATGAAAACTAAATCTTGGGCCTGTCAATACAGTTATAAAAATTGAAAGGTAACTATGGTAAGAACTACTACAATCACAACAGACCAGTGCATTCTTAAAATATAAATAGTTTTCTCATATTGTGCTGTTAATATGAACTGAAGTGGGCCAGTATTATGGACAGAAAATGCACAAAAACATTGGAAATAACATTAATACAAAATAATACTATATAAAAATAATGCAGACTTCTGAGGCGAGGTTTAATTTTGGACAAAGAAACACTACTATATACTTGGAGTTTCTGTAATTTATACATTAAGTTTTAGAGAACATTGGCAGTGTGCATTACAATTGCCTGCCCTTTGATCTAACAACTTTACTGCTAATAATTTTGTCTAAAAAGAATTGGCCATGTGTACTAATGCACATCTTGTAAGCTCATGACATTGTTTATGATAAAAATATTTTGAGTGGAGTCAATACAAATCAAGTAGCTATTCCTTAAATAACGGGGTCTGAAAGGTTGCAGCAGAGGTACTGCTGTCCTCTAGAAAGTGCTTACGGGTGTTTGCCCTCCACCTTCAAGCATCTAATAAATAAATATTTGGTTTAGACAAATGAAATGAGGTGCCTGCTAGTCTTTACGCCTCTTTCAGACCCTCACTAGGTCGCACTTTGCCATCTCTTTCCAACACTCGATCTTTCCTCAGAGATTAAGGTGTCATTATGAAGTTAACTGTCCGAGAAAGCAATGGAAAGAGCGTTTGTTTCATTTTCTTTCTGTTGAAGCTTCTTTTGAACTACTCTCAAAATACATATTGCGGTAGGAACATTATTTTTCTTAGAAATCATTTGAATATTGAGCATAGTGATAAAAAGAACATCAAATGCACAAATTAGCAGACTCTTCATTCCTTAGCTTTCCCTAATTTTAAAACTACTTTATCCTAATTTAATGTGATTTTATTTGAAATATAAAGAACCTTCAAAATGAGAGAAGTGCTACTTCTGTTTTTTTCATTTCTCTTTGTGTGATATATTAACATTTGGATATTAATAGATAAATCTCAGATACTCATATTTTAGCATTCTTAAGCTGTGGGGTATTTTTGAAATAATGTATACTCTTTAGTGAGGTGGTATATAGAGGAGAATTGAAACCAGTTTATTTGACTTTTTTTCAGAGTCTCCAATTATGATATCTTCTGGTATACTCATAACCTCTTCTTTGTCTTCTACATGCTGCTGATGTTGCACGTCTCAGGGTAAGTTTAAAGACACATTTTTTAAGACAAAAATCATATGTGCCTAAATATCTTGTGGTTTACAAAGAATATACCCAAAGCCTAGATATTCTGAAAAGCATATATACCAAGATATGAACTCAAAGTTATGCTCCTTCTATTAATTCACATAGATAGAGATAAAAGTGGTGTGTTTGGCATCTATGGTGTTGCATGACCACCAGCAGAGGACCTGGGAGTTTTGGCTTGATGTTGACACTCGTGTCACTCAATAGACTGTTAACTTCTAGCAGAACCACTTGGTTTATCAGAAGGATCTGGAGGAGGAAACAGAATATTAACAGAATAATGTCAGGCTTCTTCAGTGGAAATCCTGTAGTTATTAGAAATCATTTTACTTGTCTTCTCACTTAGCAACTCAGGTTTTAAGATGAGGAGACCATGTGGGAAATCCTGGCCTCCCTCAGCTTGGAGAAGGCTTCGGATCCATGAGAAGCAGTCCTGTAGCACATGGCCCGGGTCTTCCCCCCGAGGGACACCCTCACTGCAAGAACACACTGTTCATAAATGCTGAGGTCTGCAATCCCTGACTGATTTTATAGCTCAACTGTTGTTCCAGTCTGGGGGTACTTCAGGTACAGCTGTGGTGACAGCCCTGTGGCACCTGGGCTGCAGCAGGCATTCGTGTCGTTGGAAGCTCTGAAAGGTTTGCCATTGCGGATCCACAGTACTGTGTGTACCTAAGAACTCAGCTGGTGTTCCTCATTCATCTTACCTGAGGCGGCCTGGGAGAGAGCTCAGTTGCACCAGCACCTGCTTACCTTAAGTGTTTCCAGAGAAGAGGAGCTTGGGAAAAGGTTCTGATCTATTGCTAGATCTTTCTTCCGAATGTTTTCTAATGTAGTTTGTCAGAGCAGTAGTTAGTTGACATAGATTATGTATTTATTTCTGCGTGTACTTTCATAATGTTGGGATATTTTTGACCCCTGATTTTGGAGACCGCAGGTCAGGCCAGCAATGTTAAGTGGGTTTAAACCCAGCTTAGTTTTGGTTGATACGATGTTCAAGAACTTAGAATTGCAGAGTATTAAAAGCTTTGCGAGCTGTTATAATCTCAATTTCAAGCTAAGCATTCGTGCTTCACAGGTAAGAGGGCTATGATCAAATATCTGAGTTCGATTCTTTCTCCTTTGTAGAGAAAACACTCTCGGAGCATTGGGACACCAAGAAAAGCTGTGTTGAGAAAGTTTGCAATCCGTTCTCTTCTTTACGTGGCCTGCCTGCCTTTCCAGGACTATGGCCGTACAATGGACTATGAATAAGCGGAGGCTCTGTAGTGCAGAAGAAATTCCGAGCACAATTGCACATTGCTTACTGTTTACCAAGGGCAGTACATACTACTTCAGATGTTTTATTTTATTAAGTGCTCAGAATTTTATGTGGGTCAATAACATAAAAATCACTTAAGTGGAAAAATTGAGAAATAGGTTACTTGATTCTGTTTACTTAACATGGAGATGCTGGATTCAAACTCAAATATTTTCACTGGAAAAATCCTATTTTTTAATTATTATTATCATTTTAAATGTGTTTGGTACAGGGTCTCACTACGTGGCTCAGACCATAGTGATCCTTCTGTTTTCAGTCTCCCCAGCACTAGGATTACAGGCATGCTCTCAGATTTGGTGGCTGGCTCGGTGAGCCTGGGAGCAGGGCGGCACGGTACATCGTGCCAGGGAATGAACATGGCTCCCTGCGCTTGCCTAAGCAGGCTCTTAATCTGCTGAGCTATCTCGCCAGCCCCTATTTTTTATTTTTATGATGTATTTTTAAGTAAATCTATACTTTCAAAAGTCAGGTTTGAAAAATTTTTAAAGGATAGTATCTAAACTTAAATGGGAGTATGATTCCTTTCTCACCTTCCTCTTTTCCTCCTTCTCTCTCTCTTTCCCTTTTTTTCCCCTCCCTCTCTTCTATATCAAATAAGAGAAAAATGGGCTCACTTATTCATCTAATTAATTATGCATTCTTCGCCTTTATGTTTTACTGAGGTAAAACTCTGCAAAAGCAGGTTTCTTTGCAATTCAAAATAGAGTCAACTTTTTAAAGGTTCAAGAGTTCAAAAAGACATAATAAATTTAATCAGGAGTATGTTAGTCCTTTTTCCATTTTTTGTTAGGTAAGAGAAAGGCAGATTAAATTTAGCTTTTGCTTTTATAGAACAACTATTATAGAAGCAGAAATAACAAAATAGCTTCTATAATGCATTATATAATCAGCCTATTATTAAACTGACTTCATATTTATTTGTTATTAGTAGAATGAAGAGAATAATTATTCTAATACTGAAATGTCATTGAACACATACACAATACAATAAGCGTGATTTATAAACTTTTTGTTCTATGAAATTTAATTTTAAATAATTCTACAGATAACGCTTCTGCTATGGAAGGATTACAACTGATAAAGTGTCCAATTTTCTCTAAGTGAGAAGTGTTTGTTGTTGTTATTATTGTTTTCAATAAAGAAACAGTGTATGAGTCTGTCTTTTTAAGTAACTCTTGTACCACTGTTAAGAACTTAAGCAAATCTTTACTTCTAACATACCTACTTTAAATCTCCAACTTTTGCTTTAAAATTGAAAAGGTGGAGTTGTTTGCAGCTCGTTTCTTGTACTAATATTGAGATTTCATGTAAACACTCTGCTTCAGGTACAAATGGAGACGCCCCACTTGCTGGGCACTCACATCACTCACCAGTGTGGTGAGCACTGAAGGTAGAGAAGAGCAGTGTGGTGTATCGTCTCTACTCACCCAGCAGATAACTTATTAAAAAAATCAATCTGAAGTGCTGGAAAAATTATAAGATTATATGCTTTTAAAGTATAAATATGATCAATTTATAAGAATATAGAAAGTCAGAGCATTGAATGATCAAGGATGGCTAGAAATTGGAGAAAATATTAAGCTTCGGACCGGGGAGGTAACTCAGTACAGTGAACACTTGCCTGGCAAGTGCAAGGGCCTGAGTTCAATCCCCAGTTCTGCCAAAAAAAAATTAAGCTTCAATGATAAGGCAGTTCAACATTGTTGGCTGTTTTTTCTACTTAAACTTTTCTAATAAAATGAGAGTTTACTTCATCTGATTTTATAAGGTTATTTTTAATATAGAATCTTAAATGATATCTTCGGTAAGCCTTTTTATTATTAAATTATTTGCCTTAAGATCTTAAAAAATGACAATAATTGTTTATATTTATGAATATCAGGTGTTATTTTGATACACACGTGCATCATGGACTGATCACACCGGGCTCATCGGCAGGGCCATCTTCACGAGCATGTTGCCTCTGTCGGTATTCCCTGGGGTGTGGCAGTAAAGGAGAAGTTTAGTTCGGAAGGCGTCCGTTCTGACTGGCAGAGCTCTAATTCCCAGAAAGGTCTTTTTCTTCTTTTGTTTTCTTTGTTGCCCATTGGAATTCATTTTACTATAATTTTGATGCCCATGAATCAATCTGGAGACCATGGGAATGGAGTGTCTTCCCTTTTCTAAATTTTGATCATCTGTTCCATACATAATATTTTGTTTTATTTTATTTTATTTTTATTTATTTTATTGTGACTGGCTCAGTCTGCCCTGGGGGCAGGGCTGGCACAGCATGTGGTGCTGGGAGTTGAACCACGGTCCCTACGCCTGCCTAAGCTTGCCTAAGCGGGTGCTTTAGACTGCTGAGCTATCTTGCCAGCCCCCATAGCAACATTTTAAATGGCATCATTATTATGAACTCTCCTTTGTACTTACTAACTGGCAATATTAGTTGACTGATTATCCGTTACATCACTGATGTTTAATCCTATTAAATCTACCCAGCAACTCTAAAATAATATCCTTATCGCCATCACTGTCCAGCAGAGAAAACAGGGGCAATAGAGGAGAAACAGCTTTTGTAGGTTTTGGCCGGAAAGTGGAAGTTGTCGTGTTTGAACCCAGGCCTTGAGATTCCGGAATCCGGACTCCCAACTAGTCTCTTCAAACTGGAAGCTATGCTATGTGAAGGCAGTGTGGTTGGGGTTTGCAATGTGATCCTAGGACAGTGGAAGTCTTAATGTTAAACTACAAGTATTGGGATCAGTGTTATTTAAGATCCAAATATCTGATCCCATGAGTATCTATTTCCCTAGCTTAATCTGGTTTCATTCTTGTTACCTATTTTTGCATTATTTTTATTATTCGTAAGTGAATATATTGCATGCTACTCTAGAAACCTACGTTTCATATTCTGCCCTCAGATCTTTCTTCTCAGTGCTCAGTAGTACTTTTAAAATAAATTAATTTCCTTTCCCCATTTGGCAGTATGACACAGGGATTAAGAACCACATCACATAGTAATCAGTGATTCCTGGCAGATCATCTGGCCTCACTTCTTCTTACATATTAAATGGAATTAATGAAATAATCTATACCATAAGGTTATCAACAGGTGTAGACAGGGAAGGTAGCAAAGTAGGCAAAATATAAATATGTTCAATAAATATCAAAAATATATTTTTATAGTAGAACCAACAATATTGCTGTATATGGAAGAAACTTCACATTTAAATGAAGGATAAAGTTTTACAAAATGAAGTTTTAGAGCTTTTAAGAGCCTAGGTTTCATATTGGCTAAGTAACTTGATGGTTGTGTCATTAAAACTGCTTAGAACCCCATCCAGAGTCTTTGAAAGAATAGTAATCTTTATGATAGTGTGAGGACTCTAAAATTTATTTGATTTTAGCAGTGAAATTTTATCTTTCAAGTTGAAAAGCAAGTTTTCTAGTGGATTTTTTTTAGCTTCATACACCTTTCTATATGGTTATTATTCATGTGCTTTAATAAAGACATTTCCATTCCAAAGACATTTGGGGAGGTGAGGGAGGCCAAATCTGTGGCTTGTTTCCAGAGATGGGTGGAAAGAAAAGTTCCATTCTTCGCTTTTGTTTAAAAAAACTTAGCAAGAGGAGATGTAGACTAGTATTCT